CCTCTGCTGGCTCTGTGATGAGCATCTGAAAAGGGCACTCAGGTTTCATCATCAACTATTTCTGACAATCTTTTACTAACTGGGTTTAATTCCAAAAATTCTACTTTAAACATGCTTCTGTATACAGTAAAGCACAGAATTTACTTACAAATGGAATACATTTCCAGTTGCTGTCTTAAACGAATTTTGCTCATTGTGTCATAGAAGCTGGGGCTCTGACAAGTTTCTGCTGTAGGTGGCACACTGAATATCCTCATAATCTTCCTTTTATTCCTAAAACACAAAACCAATGCAGAAGAGAGATCTGTATTAATACCTATCCTATGTAATAAAAGCCCAGTGACCGAATGGCAGAACCACCGGAATGACCACGGCCCTTCACCCCAGTTGGCTCTGTCCCCCACGAGCCTCCCCACCCTGATTAGGGGCAGGGCTGGCTGGCAAACCACCTGCAGGCCCTCGCCCCGGCCAGCCCCGCCCCTGATCGGCCCCCATCGGGGCAGGTGGGCTGGACCCCACCAGTGCACAAATTTGTGCACCAGGCCTCTAGTAGGACTATAATAATTATTCTCAGGATTGTTGTAATCGGAAACTACATTTAAGGACATAAGTGGCAAGGAACCATCTTTTATTTGTCTCTGTGAATGCTTCCTTGGCTCAGGTATTCTTTCTTTAAAAAAAAAAATATATATATATATATATATATGATTGATTTTTCAGCCAATAGATGTTTCTCTCTCTCCCTCTCCCTTTTTCTTTTAATCAATACAAACATATTTTTTAAAAGTATGAAGCTGTATATGTATAGCCACAGGAATATACAAAAGAAAAGTAGCTGAACAATCCACTTAACACAACAGTGATGTACCTCTATTGTGCTTTCACTCCCTACCCTTCCAAAAGCCAAGTATTCTACGGAAAAATGCATAAACAAGAAAATACCTGATTTTTCCCCCTTCCCTCTCATGTCCTCCAAATAAAGGTAACTTTCCGGGTTTTACAATAAACAAAATGTGAGCAGACCTTAACTTTGGAAAATAATGGATATGCATATTTCTCATATACAATAGCATGACTTCAGTGGAGCTTCTGTATGGCCATCTTTTTAAAATTGATAACAGTGCCCCTGCTTTTAAAACTGTGGGTGGGGAGGAGGCAGTGGCTATTTTTAGTGGAACATGGTTTCTTGCAAGTGGGCCAGTGCTGATATGTAGAGCCTTCCCTCACCCATCATCCCCTACAGTCTAGACAGCCAATGGGTGGGCTCCTTCAGGGCTCAGGCAGCTAGGAAGGATGAGCCTGCATGTCTGAGAGCAAATATAGGCTCTGAGCTACTCCCCAAACCAAACATCTGTAATTTCTGGATTACTAATTATTTTGAGCTATCTATTATTTTGAGCTATCTACTGTCTTTTTGACTTTGGCAGAGGATACCATAAAGCATGTGCCTATAAGCAGAAGCAACTCAGTTCAACTAATAGTGCTTTTCCTTTTCAAAGCAGCTTCCCCACCCTCTCCACCCTCCCCACCCTCCCTCACCCCCCACAAAAGGAAAGGAGAGAGAATGAGAGAGAACAGTTACACTATGCTACGGAATCTAGAATTAAAGTAGGAAATATTTATTGAGAATTTACACTATGTGACACACCAGGCCTTGTTCTCAAGGGACTGAAGTTTTTGTGGAATAGACAAGTAATCAGATAATACCAATATTGTTCAACTAGAGGCCCAGTGCACAAAACTTGTGCACTGGGGGGGAGGCGGGGGAGGTCCCTCTGCCCAGCCTGCACCCTCCTGTGGGGAGCAGGCCTAAGCTGACAGTCGGACATCCTTAGCGCTGCTGCAGAGGTGGGAGAGACTCCCGCCACCGCTGCTGGGCTCGCCAGCTGTGAGCCCAGCTTCCGGCTGAGCAGCACTCCCCCTGTGGGAGCACACTGACCAGCTCCTGCGTTGAGCATCTGCCCCCTGGTGGTCAGTGCGTGTCATAGCAACTGGTCGTTCTGCTGTTCAGTCAATTTGCATATTACCCTTTTATTATATAGGATAAGTGCTATGAAATAGTCTTGCACAGGAAACAGAAGGGGACGCTTAAAATGTGCAAAGAGAGAATTGCTAAGCACACAGGAGTTAGTGTCTCTGCATTTTAGGGACATGGGCCAACATGTGTGCTCATCCAAGGGTGCTGGTGAACACAGGCTGGGTGATAAAATTGAGCTGTGTTAGAAACGATAGAATGGGAGTATAGTGAGCTGGGCTGGGTGCCAAGGGCTGCGCTTAAATCTCCACCTCTTAAAGCAACAGGGTTTTCCAAGCCAAACCTCAGTGCCCAGTGCTCAAGGGCACAAGCAGACAGTGCTTTCAGAGAAGAACAAAAACGTTGATAACATTATTTTTGTGCGTTTAATTCAGATCAAACAAACAAACACACCTGCAGAGCTTTTAAATGCCCAGTTTCTTATCTCCCCTGAAGTACTCAAAGATTTACCTCTTGGCATACATGAAGAGACCAAAGCTAACGAGGATGACTACCAAGTAAACGTTGGTGGCTTCGTTCCAGGCCTCATGAACGCTGTAATCAATAGAGCCATCGTCACCCATCACTCCGTAATCCCCAGGCATGTGGCTGAAAGAGAGAAAAAAGAATAGGGTTTCTGTCAGTGAGGGGTGGTATGGCTGGAGAAGGGCTGGCAAGCATACGGCCTGCTGGCCAACCTCAGCCCTGCCGCCTGTTTCTGGATGGCCCAGGAGCCAAGAATGGTTTTACATTTCCAAACGGATACATTTTAAATGGTTATAATTACCTACATAATAACCTTGATTTTTGCCTCACAGCTCTCAAAGCCTAAAATATTTACAATCTGGTCCTTTAAGAAAAAGTTGGCCAACCCGTGGTCTAGATAACTAAGGCATGTAACGTATTCCCCCTTATATTTTATTTTTAAATCTTTATTTTTGAAAGTATCACATTTGTCCCCCATTTTTTCCCATTGACCCTCTCCAGCCTGCCCCTCCCTCACCCCAGGCCTTCACCACCCTGTTGTCTGTGTCCATGGGTTATGCATTTATGCATACAAGTTCTTTGGTTGATCACCTCTCCTTTTTTAAAAAAAAAAATAAATATTTTATTGATTTCAGAGAGGAAGGAAGAGGGAGAGAGAGAAACATCAATGATAATAGAGAATCATTAATTGGCTGCCTCCTGCAGACCTCCCACAGGGGATTGAGCTCACGACCCGGGCGTGTGCCCTGATTAGAAATCGAACCCAGGACCCCTTGGTCCATGAGACAACATTCGATCCACTGAGCACACCAGCCGGGTGTCCTCCCCTTATTTTTTACTTTGAAACATTACAGCTTCTACATAAAGGTTAAAACTTGGGATTAAAAAATCATATTAGTAAAGGGACACAGGCTGAATATCACTGCACAGTCTCCAAACAGTGATTATCACCCAGATGAAAGCAACTGAATACTTTGAAACACAGGCCCAAACAACTAGCTGTGATGTTCAGAAAAGTGCTGCACTCGTGACCTCAGCCCAGAGATGTGACAGCCATGACAAGGCTCTTCCACAAGCCTCCCGTGTGGAGCTTTATCTAGTTTTGGTTTACTGGCCAAATGTGGTTGAAAGAAGCTACAGGAAAAAAGTTACTTTTTTGCTATTTACACAGCTGTGACTTCTATTAAAGGAAATGCATTCTTTGGACATTCCCACAGAAAATAAGGGTGGTAACAGCAACTGTATCAACTAGCCGTAAAAGAGCAATGGTTTCTTATTTGTGTTTGGGAAGGTAACTGAATTTTTCCTTTAAGAGAGAGTTCCTCCTTTGTGTTGGACATAAAAGGTAAGTCTAAGTAAAATGACCTAATATGTGAAAGAAATCCAGAAGTGTTATTTTAGACATTCTATAAAAAGGAAGCTGAACAAAATGATAGGTGATAACTGTACCGTAGTTTTTAAGAATAAGACAGCCATTTTCTAATACCAAGAAAAAGAATATCTGAAATGTCCAAGAAATTGTTTTGCAAGTTTCCCATAGATCTTCTATAACAATGAAGACATTGCAGAACTTCATCCACTAAAATATTTTCAACCTGTCCTGCAAGCCTCCAACATAATCTATAATGTAGATTTGGCTCAGTAAGTTAATCAGTAAGTTAAGTGTGTATTAAGGGCAGAGTCTGTTTTCTTTCTTATAGTGTGCCTCTGCATAAAATTAATGAAATTTCCTCAGAGGTCCGCTGCCAAGCCAGGTGGCACGTCTGTCCCTTGCTGACATCTGAAGTCTTTGTCAGACATTTGGGGACATAAGGTACTCATTTACAATAAAGTGAGTATCGTGAATGGCACTGAACTTAAACTGTTAACACTGAGGGCAAGAATAATTTCTCAAAAACATCTATTGGTGTCTGATGAATATAAAGATGTCTTGTAAAAATTAGCCAGGAAATAATAAAACAGAACTTACTTTAAATTATAGTAATCTATGGATGCAAGATCTAAACATTCAACATCAGACCATATCCATATCCTATATATTAAAGTCTGGCCGTGAATTTTCTTTTAAGAGAGTAAGAGGCACAGGGGGATTTGGCACAGAGTTTCAACTCTTATTCCTTAAAACTGAACTCCAGAGTTTCTCTGAATATAATAATTATGATTGATAGTAATCAATCTACTTTAGAAATGAAAAATTTTGGAAGACCAGAGACTAATAATTGCTTATGATTTATGATTTTGTTGGTTCCAAAATGTAAAAAAACAACAACAATGACTGTGTTTGGCAAAAAGAGATGACTTTAGATGTCTGATTTAAGATGCTGAAAGAGGCCTGGAACAGCAAGGGTGGTAGCTTTCAGGATTGGGAGTTATTAACAAGTCAGGGGAGAAGCAGGAAACGCAGAAGTGGCCACTAGGACATTTGGCAGGTGCCATTTATCTGACAAATTATGAAACTGTTTCCTACCTGCTTCCTAACACCTGAATGGATCTGAGCCAGGTTAATTTTCTGGCTTCAATTTTTTCACAAAATTCTGTTTAAATGGTGAAGTCCCACAGAGCTTATCTTCCTCCTGCTACAAATAGGCCAGTAATTACAAATTACAGAGGATTTCAAATTGTTGCTAACCCAGATGGTAAAAATTCAACGTGAGTTATATAACAGCTATTAGACAACATCATTGCTATGCAATGACACTACTGTTCCACAGTTCCAGGGAAACGCACTGGAGGTATTGTGGTGAAAGATCTGTCCTGAGGGTACACCTCTCCTGTCCACTTCTCCATCATGACCAAGGGCACAGCTTTGCAAGGCTGCCAGGAATAAAGAATGGTTTGGTCCGAAGTCACAGCACAGACCCACGGCTCCCATGTGGCCTGAACTGCGACCACCCCCTTCCAGCATGCCACAGTCCAATCAAGCGCACACAGACACCCGAGCGGTTCCGAATACCACCAGTCTTCCTCTGGAGTGAGAAGCAAAATGCCCAGGGGCATTCATATACCATTGTTCATTCTTGGCAAGTTAATGTTTCAGCAAGATCACAATGTAACGAGCCATGTGCTTGGATCATGATTCATGGATTTCTCAAATTCATCATCTGGGAAAACTAAACTTTTCCCCTACGTTTTCCCTGGACAGGAATGCTTGAACGATTTCCGTAAGGAGATACCAGGGTGAGCTGACTCAAGTCCCAGGTACATATTAACACCCAGAGATAAAGTTGATAAAATATGACAACTAGGGTTTGGTCTTAGTTTGATAGAATTTTACGCTGACAACTAGACGTTTTCTAGGGATTAGTGATTATATCATAAATTTTAAAATTAGCTTCCTGATACCATGTCTAGGTGGCTCTAAAATGGATTATCACTTGTCACCGTGTCTTGAATGTTATCATTTTTGTCTGTCGAAGAGTGCTTGGTTATTTTGATACAAATTCAGATTAGAAACACTTCCAGTGGTTCTCAACCTTCTCATTGTTACAAATTGAACATAATTAAAGCATAGTGATTAATCACAAAAACAACATGTAATTATATATGTTTTCCGATGGTCTTAGGCCACCGCCGTGAAAGGGTCGCGACCCACAGGTTGAGAACCACGGACTTAATACGGTTCTGAGAGTTCCTCATCACACAGTCCATCGCATAACTGATTCTCCTTCTCAGTCCTCTGAAACACTGGGGGATGGGCTTCCCCAGTCGGAAGGGCGCAGGGGCACACACAGGCCTCCAGGAGGAAGAGCCGAGGGGGGCAGGCAGTAACATTCGAGGGTTCACGTGCTGGGCAGGCCACATGTTCCACATGCTCCTTTAAGCTTCACAACCACCTGCTGGGAGGCACTACGCTCCATTTTACAGCGGCGCCTGGGATGGCGGTGGTGGTTACACAGTATAACCTGCCCAAATGTCACACAGTCTTGGGGGGGGGGATTGTCACTTGCATCTGACTCCCCATCCTTAACTCTTCCGGCCCTGACCTCAACTTGTGAAACCTGCTCCTCCAGGGGGAAAAAAAAATCGAGTCGAGCGGGTCCAGAACATAATCCTTCTCAGAGAGTGGCCGCAGGCAGGGGCCTCCGGAGCTG